CCGAGCGAGTTCGTTCTTTGCTGTCAGTGCAAAGCCTGTTTTGACCCGCTGAACCAACGTGATGTCGTCGGCAGCGGTACCAAGCACCTGTGACACAGCTAATCTTACGCCAGCTGGTGACAGGAGTCGGTGGGGGTGGTTAGCTTTGAGGCGTAGAAAAAGTCTCGCGTCGACTTTTGTCCTCAGATTGGCACTTTTTGCTTTTGGGGCGGGCGGTGCTGCCTTTGTAGTCAACGGCCCGGCGCTGCGGCCTAGACCTGCACGGGCTACTGTGGCCCAAGTCGTCTTTGGTGCCGGAGCCTGGGTTTTCGAAGGGTTAGGTACCCTAATTTCATGAGCCCTCGGCGGAGGAGGGTTGCTGGGGCGCGCAGGGAGTGCTGGTGGAGTGTTCCCTGGGCCTGATTGTATGAACTGGCCAATGGCCGCTCGAAGGTAGACTTTGATGCCGTCTACAAACTCTTTTTCGTCGCCAATCGAGAGAGGCGAAAGTGCTGCTTCAACACTGCTTATTGCAGTGGAACAGATTGATAAACGGGCCTTGATTTGCATCGTGCGACGCTTCTCGGCCTCCATCACTGATTGCAGCTCCGGTGGATATTCCGGTGCTGGTGTCGAAGCTGCGCCTTTTGAGGCTGGCACAGCATTTTTTCCGGCAGGCAATTCTGCACGTTCGGTCGTCTTTTCTCTGATGACCTCCTTTCCTTTCCTTGAACTGCTTGCCTCGGGGGCCAGCTCGGCGGGTTTCGCGGTTTGTTGACCATTTATTTCTGTTCTGATCGGGTCAGAATCAGTCATCTCTTGATCGGGAAGTGTGGAAGACTTCCCAGGGACAAAGGCCTCACTCGCAAATAGGCTTGACAATATTTGCGCGAGGCCAGGTGTTTTTGCAGGAGCCCTCGGGCGGACTCTCGCGTTGTCCAACATTGAGTTGGGGAGCTTTTTTCGAACAGGTGGCATGACGAAAATGCCAGTGACTCGATTACAATTTATTGAAGGGATGCGACGAGCGCGAGAGGGAGGGAGAGGGGGAGAAGGGGAATATTCGAAAATTCGAATTTCAAAAAATTGTGTGTTTGTTTTTTTGTTTTTACATTTGGTCCTAAGCTAACGCTATCTTTTCCACATTGGGTCAAGGACCGGTGGAGCCGGCAAGGATCACTGCGTACAGGCCCAACTCATTCCAACCGCATGAACTTCTACTGAAATTGTAGAAGTTAACAGCAAAACTAAAATCAAAAACATAAATCAAATACTTAAATCAAATTTGGAAGAAATACTGTTTGGTCCGGATCCCGCGCTTCTCGCCCGTTCCCTTTCCTGCCACATCTTCCAGATGACTTTTTCTTATCTCCGCTGAGAGCGAAAGACTAGTTCGCAGATACCCTGAATTCAGCTGGTATCCTGCTATATACTTTGAAGCTTTTTGTAGACTTCATCGAGGGTTGCTGTACCCTCAAACTTCTTCTTCGGATTCCAGGATTCCGAAACCCGATCCCTCGGCCATCGAGACATCCTTCGTTGAGGCCATCGTTGCCTCTTCGGCCCTTTTGGCTGCAGCCCTAAATCGAGCCACTTTCGCGAACTCCCCTTGCTGGATCTGGCGGATCCGCGCGAGCTGCTCTTTTGTCACCGGTCCGGACTTGCTGGGTCTGGCTAAGCAGGCCCGGAAATCCGATCGGTGAGGTCCCCCACAGTTTCGACACCGGGTGAGGGCCTTGCACTCTGATTCTGAGTGCATATTAGATCCGCAATTCCAGCAAGCTGGAGCGCGGGAACAACCACGGGTGGCGTGAAATTCAAGACACCGTTTGCATTGTTCGATTTTGCGACGAGGTCGGAAGAGCTTTGCAGCTCCAGAGTCGTCGAAAAGGCGGAATCCAGGTCGAGGAGCGGATTCTCGGGGAAATAGCGCTTGCCAATTTGAGTAGGGCGCCCCTGGTTTGCTAGTCCCATGAGGACGAACCAGAAAGGGAACCAACTGGGTCACTCGCGTGACTTCGTCGGCAACCATCTTTGCCGTCACGGCGATTGGGCCAGCAAGAGTTCGAATTGTCTCCGGGACGGTGGCAATTTGCATGGCAACCAGATTTGATGCTGGTTCCAGTTTGATTCCAGATTCGCTCCGTGATGTAGAGGAATCTAGGAGCTCTGTTCGAGCGAGTTCATCCTTTGCGGTTATTGCAAAGCCGGTCTTTACCCGCTGAACCAACGTGATATTGTTGGCAGCGGTTCCCAGCGCCTGAGACACCGCTAGCCTTACTCCAGCTGGAGAGAGGAGACGGTGGGGGTGGAAGTAGTCAAGGCGCAGAAAAAGTCGTGAATCGGCTTTTGTCCTCGAGTTGGCACTCTTTGCTTTGGGGGCGGGTGGTGCTGCCTTTTTTGTCGATGGCCCAGCGCTACTGACTAGGCCTGCCCGAGCTACGGTGGCCCAAGTTGTCTTTGGGGCCGGAGCCTGGATTGTTGGAGGGTTAGGAACCCTTATTTCTGGTGCCCTCGGCGGAAGAGGGTTGGCGGGGCGAGCAGGGAGAGCTGGTGGTGTGCTCCCTGGGCCAGATTGTACGAACTGGCCGATGGCTGCTCGAAGATAGACTTTGATTCCGTCTACAAATTCTTTATTGTCGCCAATCGAAAGAGGCGAAAGTGCTGCTTCGACACCGCTGATTGCAGTCGAGCAGATTGCGAGTCGGGCGTTTATTTGCGTCGTGCGACGCTTTTCGGCCTCCATCACTGATTGCAGCTCTGGTGGAAACTCCATTTCTGATGTCGATGCTGCGCCTTTAGAGGCTGGCACAGCATTGTTTCCTGCAGATGATTCTGCACGTTCGGTTGTCTTTTCTCGAACAACTTCCTTTCCTTTCCTGGAGCTGCTTGCCAAAGGGGGCAGTTCGACGGGGGTTTTGGTCTTGGGACCATTGTTTTCTGCTCTGATCGGTTCAGAATCAGTCATCTCTTGATCGGGAAGATTTGTGGACTTCCCTGGGACAAAGGCCTCACTCGCAAATAGGCTTGATAATTTTTGCGCGAGGCCAGGTGTTTTTGCAGGAGCCCTCGGGCGGACTCTCGCGTTGTCCAACATTGAGTTGGGGAGCTTTTTTCGAACAGGTGGCATGACGAAAATGCCAGTGACTCGATTACAATTTATTGAAGGGATGCGACGAGCGCGAGAGGGAGAGAGAAGGGGTAAAGGGGGATATTCGAAAATTCGAATTTCAAAAAAATTGTGTGTGTGTGTGTGTATGTTTTACTGTACTACTTGAGTCTATAACTATCTAGCATATTGGGCTCCTCTCTGACCCAGGCCACACCTTGTACAGTGCTCCTTGCCTCTTTAATTACTTGAAAGATCATTGATATATTGCCCGTGATGAATAGCCATTCAGCTCAGTGTTTACCCATGCAATTCAGCTACCTTTTCCACGGAACCTTCTACCCAAAAACATAAGGGTAGCGATGCAAACTGCGTGCGCGAGAAAAGTCTCAAAAAACCTGCTGCCCCAGCCAGGCGAGGCCTAGACACCGGGACCACATGAGGTGCGCATATTCATCTATATCTCTCTTCTTTGTAACAGTTGAGGTCGACTTGATCCAATCCGCCATCTCCGTATCGGGTGCTGGGTGCGCTCCTGAAACTCATCGGATGGCATCTCCTCCTTGATCAAGGGTGGGTGATGAGTAGGGCTCCGACCCAACCATCTGATCTGATCGTGGTTAGCTTCATAAAAATGGTGATGGTGGAATGTGCTGAGAGATGAAGACGATACAGACCGCGAAAGCGGTTGGAAATCCTCGTCGAAGTGAGAACTTTGTTACTCAATCTCGGCTCTGCAGACTCTACAGTGAGAGCTGGAGGTTCGTAGGGGACACCACTGACAGGTGTTGAGAATAGTCCCCCATTGTCGATGAGTCAACGGCACTCCCCAGAGCCCTGGACGGTACAACAGAGGTTATACTAAGCTATCATACGGCAACCACGTTCTGTCAGGACTTTTCTGCCATCACGGCACGACCTTTGGGAGGGAGGCTAGAAAGGCAGGGAGTGAATTTCTCGATGTACACACAAGTTTGTAGCTCCCAGCTGGCTGCCTCATTTAAACGCTTCAGAAGGATCACCATGTCTTCGGATTTATTCATAATGTCGGCATTAGAAGAGCTCCGCACCCAGTGGTTTCTGCGATTTTTCCCGGCTACCATACACCCGCAAATGGCCATCGTTTTTTTGGCTGGGGAGGAGAGATAATGATGGGCAAAAGGCTCCTCTAATTTTAGGATCGAATGAGGGCTTGTGATGGGTGGAACAGTTTGTAGGGAGATGTATGGGAGGCATAGAAGGGGATTTACTACTGGTATAGGTATCCTTGGCATGTAGGCAGAGAGGACCTGCATGTCCTACATAGTCGTAGGCTCAGAAAGGTCAATTAAAATGAAATACAGAACCTTCTTCCCCAAAAAATACAGGGCAGGGGTGGAATTAGAGCCTACCTAGCTACAGGGGCTACTAATGTCGTAATCTGAATACGGATGCTCAGCAACAGAGATTATTATGATCGACATTACTAATTAAAAGTCTCTATCTACGCAGCGGAGAGTGGATCTTCCGTATTTACCATATTCTAGAGGTAAAGAATTATCCCTAAATTCATCTCAAAATTCTCACTGTTATATCTTGTCATCAATCGATCTGACGACATCTGACAGGTGTTGAACTTTCATCACCCGATGAACAAAGGCCTTTCTTAGATGTGAAAGTATCCCTCAATTTTATCCTTAGTCTGAAATCCCTCAGCCATTTGATCAAACTAAATTTACACTCATTCTCTGTATAAAAAATGTATGCGCAAAATTATAACTAAATCCCAATCAAGAAGGAGAATGAAGCCTCTCAGTGCCTCTTTCATGAAGCCAAACCTTGACTCCCAAGTTTGTAACCTTTACTCCGAGACAACTGGTATATCTAGAGGACCAATCAAACTCCAAGTAATCTAGGCAGAACAGTCATTTATTCAAAATACCGGGGCATCTCCAAACGTCCCAGGAGGATCCAACGCCATAAAGTCCAAAAGATCCATACCACCAACATTAACGCCTTCCGCCCTTTGGGCCACAGCTTGGTCATTTATTTGTTGATAGAAAGCCATTCCTGGCGGGAGATACCAGACCTCCGTCCCTGCGCCCCAGTCAACTACTTTTCCGAACACATCATGCATCGGATCGCCACTATTCATGGATCCAGAATCATCTGCAGGATTGATAAAAATCAACGATTCACTGCGAGGGTCGTGAGGATTTAAATCATAGGGTGTGGCTGAGAGACCAAGGTCTGAGATAAAACTCGTTAGTATGTGAATCTTAGGTTACCGAGCGCTCAAATAGAATTTAGTCACCTACCAGGATTATTCTCGCTGTTTTCAAGAGACACCTTATTAGCACCAGTTATCCAATCATGACCAGGGGAATCGGCCTCAGGTTTTCTGTACCTCGGATCAAGTTCTTGGTGCACCGAGCTACGGTTCCGATCAGAGGCTCGTACTGTAGATGCGCTAATGAATCGGCAACGTAGGCGAGATGTTAAGGTCTCGAGAAGGTCGGCAAAGCGGATACCAAGATGGGAATCATCGACGACGCAATTACGGAGAGCGGCTACTGACCTATCCATTAGTCCGATACTAATCTCTACATCATTTTTGGATGCACCAAGGGCAAAGCTCTTGAGCAGAAACATAGCGCCACAAATGATCCTGAAATACGTTCTCACTGGCGCATGTTTGAGATAATTATTTGGAAGAAGACCCTCAACAACAATTCTCAGGAGATTGCGACTTCCATCAACGACTTCCCGCACACAATCCTGGTCTGCTGCACTAAATCCACCCAGTCGTGCCAAAGGAAGCTTCCCATAATAGCTTTGCGTCTCGGGTGACAGCACTGAAACTCCCGCATTACCATTGTTATTATTATTGTTCCTTTGAACGTTTGCATGAAGTCCGGCATGGTTAGTACATCGCTCGACTACGGCTTGGAGTGAAAGCGAGTTCACATAAACACGAATATACTCATACTCAATCGAGAGTATGTGGCGAATATACGGTGGTAATTGAAACAATTCAAATTCCATTTTCCAAGCACGGAGAATCGGTTGGAACTCCTGGAGCAGCTCCACGTAACTTCCATCTTGAATAATTTTTGTAGTGTACTGTCTTGTCTTAAATAGCGTCTCGTTACCGATTCGCATGGCATTCGTAATCCCAGCCCAGCAATGAATGACTTGATCATCTAGCTCTGAGTCGGGGATATAGTTAAAAACACCCGATATATTTGTATACGTATCCGGGCTTCTACCATTAGTAGACTTCCGGTTCATGGGGGCAAAAGATGGATCAGTAGAGCGCAAATTCTCTGGCACCATATTTGTCCAACCAAGTCTCCCAGCCAGCTGCGTCACACAGATCAGGAGCAACCTCTTAATCCTCGTCGCACGTAGCCGATACGCCTCTTCTTCGTACTCAGGCCGAGTAGTCTCTCCACTTTCGGCAAGTAATTCCTCGAAGTTATCGAATACTCCAAGTTCATAGGAGAGACCCATGGCAGTACTTAACAGCATCCAGCACATACGGTCACTTCGCCACGCTGGCTCAAGCCAGCTCTCAATCCTTTTCCCCCCTATCCCACGCACAGTGCGTGACTGATAGGGGCCAGTTTCCTCATCCACAGTATATCCCTCCCGGCTATCAGAGCCAGGAATCATTAGCTCATCTATCGCATCAACTGGTGGAAAATTTAAAGCGCGGGGATGCCATTCGGTTAGAATCATAAGGCTCTCTATGGTGCCCAAAGTTCGTAAGCTTCCTTTCCGCAACCCTCTTCCCGGGGCAGTACTCGATGTTTGAGCGTCAAGTCCTAATCCACAAAATCTACCGCCAAAAGCTTCTTGTCCCCATAAACATCTTTCTATCATCCCACGAAGGTAGTTCCACAGTTGCTCATGAATCGCATATGACCTACAATGTCCCCCAGGATCGGAAATTTGGCGATATCTAGTGGCAATAGTCAATAGAGTGACAGTTAAGATAGGCTCCTCTGTAAGAAGCGTATAGTGTGTTCCAGGATCTCGAAATGTTGGCGGTGATATGGGCGTTAAAGGAGATAAATATTCATAGTAATAGTTTACATATTCAATAGCTTCTGCAGCGGTAAACCATCCAGCCCTTACGAATCTAAATCGACCCCAAGCTCTGATTGCATCCTTATAGCCCGGAGTATGGGTTCTTTCAGCACTAGTTGGTTTACCGGAAAATAGAGCTGGATCTATAGTTGAGTCCTTTTGAGTTTTAGGGGCGAGTGTTAAGGGTGATTGGAGAATGGGATCATTGTTCGGTAAAGATGGCGATGGCAGGCGTTCTGAAGGCCTACAAGCTCCAATAATTGGTGGCAATTGATATTCATTTCTATCTCCACTTTGCCCAGAGTTATCGGTAGCAGCCTTGTAAAGAAGGTCTAGGGCATCATATGGACCTGTTTCAATGAGCGAAGGAAAAGAATTCAGGTATATTTTTTTTACCGTAGACTTGCTGGCGCATGACTTCCTGGGCTTCTAAATTTTCGAGTTGAGTGGTCGGATCCTTGACTCCTTCATTTTGAGACAAGTCTCTTCGGTTCTGGGCCGGTCTGCGTAGAGGTTGTGTGCATCCTATCGAGCCTCCAGGTGTCATGGGAGGTCTCGGTGTAGTCTGCACGTCGATCACTGAGTCAATTGATATTCTGGGCTGAGGAGTACCAAGGGATGCTAGATGGTCGGGGGTCGAGGGAGAATGAGATATTATTGTTGGCCTTCTTCCATTGCGAATGGCGTATTCATCGGAAGATTCTGGACGGTTGGTGCTTTCTTCAGCTCCATCTTCATACTTCCGTTTCCTCCTAGTCGCAGAAAAAAAGCATTCCTTGCTCTCCCGACGGCATCTGACACAAGGTGGATCACTTGGGTTGTCGACACTGCCTAGATCGCACTTCACCTTGCGGCGCCGACATGGGATACAGGCTTGATAAACGCGCTTATGTTGTGGTTGATAATTATGTTCTCCGTTTTGAGCTGGAGGCGAGCCACTCGAGGCAATAGAATCGTTGGAACTATCAGCAGTTGTTGGCAAATGGTACTTTTCTATAGACATTGTTTTATCTAGTAGAGATGGGGGTTCAAGTGATCTCTTAGCTCGGTCTCGCTTACCAGCGATTTGGGCATACACGAGCGAGGGGAGCATCTCTTGCAAGGGCCCGTCAAGAGATATTAGGTTAAATTATGGTTCTGGGTATCATATTTGTAATAGGATCCGTTGGCGTGATCCATGGCTTTGGTGATTGAGGAGAATATATAAAGTTACATGGTTTGGGTGACATAGCGTCCATGAGGATGGCAAAGGCTACCTTTTTTCACGTGCAAGAAGACCAGCGAGGGCTCCATCATGTCCCACTTATTTCAAAGTGTGAGTGAATGTTGACCCACGAAATCTGGCTTGGCGTCAATGAGGGTATTCCATGGGGAAACGTCCTAGACATGCTATTCATATATTTGTTAACGATAAGACTGATTTACCTTCGAGCCAGCCTTGTGAACAGAAGTATCGGTAAAATTTGGAGAAGAAATGTTGATGGACACATGATCATGAAGCATGTTTCGACAGATTTGCATCGAATTACTGTAAAGCGGGTGTAATACAGAAATGCTATAAGGACGCTCAAGGCATAAGGTCAGGCTCATTATTGTTCGACATATGCACCCGGGGTGGTCATATTTATCTTCTATGGTACACAAACGCTAAGCCATCTTCTCGGCACTGGGATACGTGTCACATGTCTAGTGGCCCCACATCTGGACAATACTATAGCCGGACGGGTCGGCTCATGTAGATACGCTCACTCAACGGCTCCCGTTAGCCCCGGAAATGATGAAGGCGTTGAAGGCCTAAGGCGAAAGTATGATAATTATGAATATCTTACCCCTGTAATTAAACACCAGGGTCTATCTCGATTTAATTGGCTGTCTCGAGAAGCCTCAAGGACTAATATGCCCAATGTTGTTTGTGGACCAATAAACATTAATACTACAACAAACTGTTGCGCCATTGTGATAATCCCGAACTACGTTGACACATCACAAGACTGGTACAAGGATTCCCCAGCGAAGTATCTCGTTTGGCATACCATGACCTTGTATCCATTCCATAAGATAACAATATAGATTTGGATTATGATATCAACCAATGGCGCTCTCCTCATCAAAAAAAGCATATCCTCAACGGTCGGAGAGAAAAATTCATGGAAAAAGGAGCAAATGATATTCTAGCCTTTGAAAATAAAAGTATCTGACTTATCACAACCATCGTCTTTCAGATCTCGACATTTGATTCCAATCGCTGAGGGAGTTGCTAGACCATATGAGTTTCTTAATATCCTCACACCCACACAGGTTTTTGTTTGCCAAGCACGCTTCATAGTAATCATGATCTTTGGGTTTTACCGCAACATAAGATTGCGAGGTAACTAGAAGGAGAAGGATGTTTGACTGAGCTTAAGCTTCGCTAAAGACCTTGGCGAAGTTAAAGCCATCGAGGAGAAAATTTTTAAAATGATCTTGTACTAAGTCGTTAAGTGCTACCGCGCCACAATAGTTTTGGGGTGAAAAGAACATGAGAGGGCCAAGGTAGGTGATAAAGTTAGATAAAAAGAGCGGTGGCGAAGCAAAATGACTGACTCATCAAGAGTGTAGACTGAGCTAGCTAAATAGTAACTATAAAACGCCATGGAAATGATTGTGACTCATCTTTACTTACATGGTTTAATTTTGTATGTGTTTTATTGTAATCATCGTGGTTTCGTTGAGTTAAGGTTGGGGAAGTAAGTGACGCCCTTTGATGAAAATAGACCTGCCACGTCTCGTCAAACGTCCTATGATGCGCTGTTAAGAGATGGCTACACCTTGGGATTCAGTGCCCATGTTAGTATTTGGTAATAATTATGAAAAATTTACTGATTACTACACATCCACGAATTGATTTCGCTTGATTGGTGAGGGAGATGAAATGCTCAAAAGACAACAACTCCTCTAAGTGTGTACTAGAAGAGGAACTGATGGGTTTATACAGAAAGTCAGAGGTGGTCAATTAGCTATAGGAGAGAGTTCTATTCGAGGTGGACACTACGAGCTGGTAAGAAAAAAGCTCCGTCTACTTTGTGTCATGGCGAGAGAGTTGCGGGTTAAATACCAAGTCAGTTCCTCTAACTGGGGTTCTAAAAGGTCTAAACCTGACAACTGTAACTAGAAAATCACAAGGAAAGTTCAGTTTCTTGGCTTAACAACCAAGCAAATAATTGATGTGTGAAAAGATAACTATGTTTGAAGGTTCGAATTTGATTTCATATATCCTAGTTTAGCGCGTCATAGGCCCATGCAAGTGTCTTCGCACTATAATATTTAAACAGCAGGGAATTACAGGGACATAAACTCTCCAACTTCTGAATTTTTGTCCTGTTGTAGGTGATGTGTTAACTTTTTCAAGTGCACTAACACAATTATGTCTAGTGTGGACCCTTTCCTCGGCTTCAACCGTCATCCGAAGCTGTTGTGACCTTTCTCCATGTTGAATCCACTCTAGCATTCTTGCTAGATCCTTTGCGTTGTTCATCAGGAATTCAAATGACCGAGTATCTGCCCTCTGAAGTATCTCTCCTCTTTCCTTGGCTAAGCTGGAGCAGGCCATGACCATATGCTTGACATGTTGGGACGGAAATCTACATTAGCATCATGGAATGTCTACCCTGGCGACTTTTCTGTACGAATAGGAATTGGGTCCAATGTGCTTGCCTCTTATTTATATAGCATGGTAAGGATGAAGACCGATTGTGATACTATGATGACAGGGAAGATTGTTTGTGGGCATAAAGAGGATTGTGAGTGCAACAATGTGAAATTTATATTTTTACTGTGTACAAAGATATGTTTATGATACATTTCCTTGAATACCCAGAGATTCGGGTTTCTTTTATCTCATTCAAAGACGATGTGTTTGTGTGTTAACTAAATGTTGACTCGCTTTACCTCGCTGAACATGCCTTACATAAAGCTAGTTCACTTTTACCTGAAAGACAATATGAGCTGCTGTCGTGAGCCGTCTAACTTTGACACATGGCTATGCTGATTTGGGCCCTACTCAGGTGAGCGTGTTGTTCTAATACCAAGTAAATTTGAAAAGCTCCTTCCAAACTTCAAATTTGATCTTGATTAGAGCCTCAGTTAAATTGTGTTGGATAATTTACCTTTAAGGAAGCCGGATCTACCTCAAAGTAGTTTATATCTTGCAACTTCAAGCAGCTTTGTTCGATTTATCATATCTTCTCGTCTTGTCACTTCGATATCTCTATTATATCTCTACTGACCATCTCAACCTTTTTTAAGTTCTCCAAAGTATCATTATTACTGTTGAATTATCATAGTCACCGCTAGGATACCAACGATAGACGGCGGTCACAACCCTGTCCATTGCTTGTCGTAATACTCTGTTATAGTCTTGAAACCAGTGGAATAGAGGTACATCTTTTCATTCTGTGCTAGATTGGATGCGTCAAAACATAAAGGCTACCCACTGTGGGTAATATTTGGTATCCAAGAAAAAGTGTAGATGTCGCAGGTATTTCTGTCGATTCTGGCGGTGTAAGAATGCGAGTTGTGAGAGGGATCTCCTACTCATTTTTTGATATCATGTATGCTAGTCAAATGGCATATTTCGCACTCCTATAGCTTCATATAACTGATTCTGGGCTTGATCAGGGTGGCAATTGCCAAGTGCATGAGTCAGGTCCCATGTAAAGAGGACAAAGACTGAACACTTATCAGCGGTATTCTCTACAACCCTAGGGTCGATATGTTTCCTCGAAGCCAAGATTCGTTCATGATAAAGAGTGTATTGTAGAGTCTTCGTCGAGTTGACGATTGGGATGAGTGGTGCTAGCTCACCTTTGGCCGAAAATGCGACCCTCACAAAATTTCATGATCGCACAACCCAACAAATACAAACATCTATAGCCCAAATACCAATCGCAGATATTCCAAAATCTGTCTGATGTTTCAATAGCAATGACTGACACATTCAACATCTTAATTTTTCCTGGAAGATCATTCCCAGTTCAGCTCATCTCGCGGCCCTCTTCCCAATCAAGTCACCACGAATCGAAGCGCTTTAATATAAAAGCGATACTTACCATCAAGGAAATCAGAAGGTTTCTATCTATTCATGAATCCCCCCACGGTCAAGGTAGGTTGAAAATACCGGCCTTAAATGCGTCCTCACCTCGACTACGGGCACCAACAAATCGTCCCAAAACGAAATACGTGCGACCTCTCACCGACACATCAATCAGAGCATTAGCATAAGGCCGTGGCATTGATGCCTCTGTCTTGAACTCTTAGTTGAACTTTAGGCCTCGATGGTCAGGGGCACGGAAGTGGTGGGGCTAGGCAAGAGGGAAGCATAGTCTACAAAGTTTCTAAGAAGGTGATGTTGGCTGAAGGGTAAACGAGATAATGCCATTGAGGAATAAAAAGGAAACCAAGTAGAGGAGGCCTCGATGGGCGAATGGATGAGGTTTTCGATAATGAAAATAACCTCTAGATATGATGAGGATATGCTTGTACAATTTAAAATTCGGACTGAATCAAGCTCACAGATTTTTACATTGTGAAGGGTCCAGGGGCTCGGGCGCGCGCTGACCGAGTCCAAGGAAAATGCTTTCCAGTGCGCTGAAGATTAGTCCTCTCGACGCTTGGGCTTGACTTTTTTCACAGTGTATTCAGCTATGTAGCTATGACAGTTCTAACTTACAAAATATATCTGAAGATTTTCTCAATGATTTTTTCCAAAGTTATTCTAGTTTTACTCCATATCATCCCTTGACAGCCCCAAGCCATATGATTGAATCTAGGAAGCAAAGTAATGCTGTTTTCCCCATATGTGTTCCAAAAATAAGTAACGGTTTAAGTGGTATTATTGCTCCAAACTTTTTTCTTCTTTCCACCTCAAATTTATGACAATGAAGGATTATATGTGGCGCTATCTGACTTCCTTCCCCACAGTAGACACACTGCTATAATATGGAAGCACACCAGTCTTAGTGTGGACAGTCAAGGGTACGCATGATAATGCCAGGCTCATCATTGTGAGGAAAACATCGTGTTTTTAGGGTCCCGGAGCGATATTAACTACGTACAGAATGGAAACCTCAACCTGCCAGCATTAGAAGGACCTGGGCAGCTTTACTAACCGAAGATGGCGATGGCGATGGCTACGGTCAAAGCCAAATGCAACAAGGAGAAAAAGGAGAAGCTGATTAAGTTTTGGCTTAGAGATCTTCCCGCAGGAACACTCTGCGTCTACTCGGATGGGTCATCGACCGGTCCTGCATACTCAGCCTATGGCTACGCCATACACAGGGACAGAGAACTTGTGGCGAGCGGTGGAAATTTTCTTCCTGGGGCTGAGGTCTTTGATGCGGAAATCGCCGGGGCAGTACGAGGCTTAGAGGCGGTGTTAGAAATAGGAGGAGGTGCCGGTATGAAGGTGCTCCTCGACAATCAAAAGGCAGTCAGAACCCTTGTAAGTGGAAGAACAAATTCCTCACAGTCTGAGGTAAAGAATTTTACCAAGACCAGAGTGCATTTTGGAGGAATCTCACGAAGCTCTAACTTTTGCAGCTCTCAAGCGCCAAGTCAACATTCGCGTGCAGAAACCTGTGGAAGATTGGTGGCTTAAGAACAGATCGGATAAGCATGAAGATCTGGACCTACTGATGCGAAGAAAACGCCCTCCAGAACTAGCTCTACGTCGATGAGCATGTCACCACCTCATAGCTGCAAGGACTGGGCATGGCGACTTTTTCAGTTATCATAGACAATTTCAGCACCAGAATAAAGACATGATTTGCAATTGCGGACGAGAGAGGCGGCCATGGCATTTTGCAGAGTGTCGCCCGACTATCAAGAAATTGAGGCGGAAACGAAGGAACTACGTCCTAAGATCAGGGATATGATAGGAAAAGAAGGATGGCAGAGATTCTGGCGTTTTTTCACGGTAAAAAATGTTACAGCAAGATTGAATCGTGAACAGGGGATGCAAAGGTCAACTGTGATGCTTCTTGGACCCGTTCGGCTTGGTACGAGGATTAATGTGTGGTGCAGGGCACTAGCACCTTGGAAATGGTGGTTTATTTGTTTTTAGTTTCTAGGTTTCTACTAAACAATGATATAGGTAGCGAAGAGTCTTATAGATCTAGACTACCCGTGCCATGCCCTCTGAGTGCCGGGGTAGTTCCCGGTCACGATAAAAATATCATCATTATTTTATGGAAAGATATCACGCCTCGTGGGTGTACGGCGCAAGCCTGATACGACTAGAACACATACATACATTGTAAGGAAAGAGCACCGAGAGACTGGCTCGGCCACCGTGTTGCAGAATACATTATTCTCCCCTAGTATGTAGTTAGGAGGATACATAGTTCACACAAACACACCTGCATTCACAAACCCACGTACTCTTGTATGAACTTTCCCCACATGTTGTGTGAGTTACTCATCGCGTCTCATCGAACCCGCACACGTGCTATAACCAGCACGTCACCTCAAGGATCACAATTCTACGCCATAACGCATAACCTTAAAACACACCAATCATTTTACAATTTTGTGCAGGTAAGCCAACGTATTTCCAATACCAGTCCTTGCTTGAATCTATTCAAGCCTAGCTTGACCTGCCTCAACACGTGGGTGAAGACTGAGGTGGTCCGGTGATTCAGGTGGCACGAGATTCATGTACTTGATGCAAATTAGCCTCAATCAGCCCGACCCACTCGTGCTCAGCCTGCCAGTTGCATAGCATTTAGATAGACAAAAAGGGGAATCCTCATCAAAGTGAGGACGAAGCTGTTACTCAACCTCGGCTGTGTAGGCTATAATGTGAGAGCTGGAGGCGCGTAGGCGATACCGTTGATATATGCTGAGCCTCCACTCCCCTGTATTCCTCGTCTTAAGGAATTCGGTAAAGTCACTCGATTATTCAAGTTGTTCGAGCGGCAAGTATACAAACCATATCTAGTGATTCTTATGTGTAAGGGCTCTTGGCAAATCTTCATTTATACCTCTTCCCACTCTTCTGCAGAATAATTAAATATTGAGCGATACACTGTCATTGTTATGGGGCTTACTCGGCTTTAATAGGCTGCACTCACCTGCTAGCCCTGCCTTGCATGCAGGTGGGTTTCGGCAAATGGGTCTGCCTTTTGCACCAGACAAGACGTCAAGTAAGCGTTTATGTAAGTAGGTCATCACGACACACCTTGTGTCGGCACACTCCCGCCACGAAGATCTCTTACACAGAAAAACGTAGAATATTTTGCGGCTTTACTTGCGTGCAGCGACCGTGACCTTAGAGTCACAATGTATGATGATAAAAAATGAGTAGATATGGTATACTGAATAGGCTAGTAGTAATCAATATACATGACATGTTGGTAGATAGGACTTAAGCATGTTTGGTACCCACTAGAAAGTATATCACCTATTGTGTCAAAGCTAGATAGCTGCATACGCAATTAAAATCTGGTACAAAAAAAAGATTTCACCGTATCCTCAGGGTGTGTTACAATCACAGTTCCATACTGTGATGTCCTCGACCACTCTATGCGATTATGTTGAGCCACGCCCCAGTAGTCAACGTAATGGTGGCTATGTAAGGCTGTGCGGTACTCGCATAGATGTAGTGTATCCCTGAAAATGAGCGAATATATATTTAGAGTAACTGCGATAATCACATCATAGCTCAATACTATAGTAAAAGAAAAGACAACCATAAAACTTAAGATAAGGGAAAGTTTTAAAGATTAGATCCATCCCTTACTTCCATTTTAAAAATGCTAGCGTGAGTTATGTGACTGTTTGTCGAAACATGTTAAGTGGGGAGCATTTTGCTCGTAAGAGTTGGATAGCCAACAAGATTTGGAGCAGAATGGGAATGGCATAGTATGTGTGAAGTCCTTCGTCTCTTAGCATACTACTCAACCCAAGTCGGAATTTTCATTCAAAGTTCTCGTCTATTTGAATATAAATCAACATATGAGAGGTAAATTTCGATTCCTCTGAGCCATTATACTCAACATGGTACAGGGATAATGTATATATTATGCACTAGGATGAATTTCGAATTTCATTCTCTACTACTTGAATGATAAGAAATAAATTTGGGTGAAGTTAATATCTAGGTGGTAACCTCGATAGGTAAATTTGAATATATAAATTATTCTGTTTTTGACCTTTTGTCGTCTAAATATAACTCTGACTTTCAGGAGTTAGAGTAATTGGGGCCAACAATTAGGTCAAATTGTTTAAATATACGTGACTACAAAACCTGTACTTAGATTTACTTTGGTAGTTACCTGAATCAATGCGCTCTACAACGTCATTGACTGAGGGGTCATTATTCTCTTCATACTACCAAAGATTTTATTAGCTTGGTATCCAAAATTTATTTAAAGACGTGGGATGAATTTTGGTCTAATTTGTCATAAAATTGGGTCTACTAAACTTACATTATTTTTCTTATAACTAGAGTTCATGTTTACTCTTCCCGTCACTATCGAAGAGCATTATTGAGCTTTTATTTATAAAATCCTGTTGCTCCTCTGAGGAATTCTGGGGTTTATATCTCAGAGTTTTGGAACTCGATAATTTTCTGAGAGGTATTGTCCCTAGTAATGGTTGTCGAACGATAGTTTTCTCAAATTTCTTCTAGCCGAATCACCAATTATCGAAATTTCCAAACCCACCACATTTGACTCTTTTCTTGTTATGTTCAACTTCAACCAGGTCTTCGTCGGAAGGATATTTTGCAAGAGGAGCTAATTTAAGATACTTCCCCACACATCCTGACTCCTCCGGACGAACAATTGAGTTATCATCTCTGATTCTTTTACCTGTCCATGTTGTTCTATCATCTTCAGTACCTCCAAGCCTCTTTATCTCCTCTTTTTGGTTCTCAATTTCCTCTTTTTCTTTTTTTTGCTTCTGAAATTCTTCAAAGGGATCAATAAAAATATTGACATCTGTCATGATAATGTCATGAAGTGGGCGATTTGCTTCATCGCCGGGTATATTTTCTAGCTTGTTTAAAGTATCCAAGTCGCCCACGACCCGTCCAAAAATGGTATGCTTTCGATCTAAGTGCCTAGCTGGTTTGTAGGTTATGAAAAATTGACTCGAGTTTGTATTCTTCCCCTTATTCGCCATGCTCACAATACCCCTAGAGTCGTGAACCAAGGGACCGTCAAATTCATCGCTAAAATTCTTTCCCCAAATACTTGCGCCTCCCTTTCCTGTTCCAGTAGGATCTCCACCCTGAATCATAAAATTGCGAATATTTCGGTGAAACTTGACTCCATTGTAGTAGCCCTTTTTCGCGAGATGAACAAAGTTCCATACCGCTTTTGGTGCTGTTTCGGTCTGGAGCTCCACTTTGATTGCGCCATAGTTAGTTTCGATCCGCGCATACCCTTTGTTTTTGACTTTCTTCGGTCGAAGCATATATTCCTCATCCGTAAGCAGGGCTCTCTCGCCACTAGTCTCTGGAGTAAGGCCAGTACTAGTAAAACTTGCAGCTGCTCTTCCTGTGGTATACTGCGCTGCATTACAAGCGAGACTTTTCTCTTGAATCTGAGATGCTCTACTTAACGTACTTCCGCCAGCACTTGCTGAGCTGTTCACTTGACTAAGATTTTTCTTGGAGGCTCTTTCTTTCCTTACTCTTTCTAGGGCCTCCTTGGCTTTTAAGACTTTTTCTCCTTGACTATCTTCAACTCCAAGATCCTTGGAAGCCTCTTTATCCATCATTTTCGAGGTGTTGGAATCTTTCAAGAATTTGAATTTGCTGAAGTCCCTGCCTTCAAGAGAGCGAGGATCCTGAAGCGTGATAATGTCTGACCGCTTGAATTCTCTGTCGTCGACAAGATCAGACCAAAGTTTGGCCTCGATGTTTAGTTTCTGAACAGTTTCCCAGGCGAATACGTTTGCTTCATTTCCATGTCTAATCGCAACAACGTGTGTATTGTCTGTAAAAATCTTGAAAGTGACGGGATCAATCATCTCACCCTTATTATCGCCACAGCCATGGCGACTGCTATTCGCATCGGTGTCGCCATTTCGAGCGATGTTCAGCTTGATAAGATCCTTTTTTCGGAGAGTTTTTCCTGTTACAGGGTTTGTTTCTTGCTTATCTAGCCACTGGCTGATAACTTCAATATCAAATATAGTGCCTTCAAGTGTGCAAACCGGGTTCTTAAAAGGCTTTAGACTGGCAGCACAAAAGTTAAATGGTAGTCTTTTGAAGTTAGAGCCCGCACCACTTTTTTGAGATACATTCGATCCCGCACTAGCGGAATAGGCATCAGTTGAGGACCATTCAGAGTGAGTAATGTAGAGCTTGTCAGTACCTATAGGGCCAAAATGTCAGTAATGAATCATAGGGAATCATAAATGTAACCTGCCTTTACCCATACTTAAGTTCTGTCTGGTTTCGATGATACTTTTGGGAACAAAATCGTTGACGATGAAAGTTAAGCACTCATCTAATATTTACAGATCGTTTAATTTTTTCAGAAAATTGATAGGTTATTTAACTTGAGGTATAACGCGGTTTCAGAGGTTCTGACTAGGCACAGTGCATAACGTTATCTATACACCACTGCCTCTATCTGATATTAGACAGTATAAATATGACTAAGCTAAGTCGGAATTCTGTGCGCTAACCCTCTGAATAGATGGTATGCATATTCATGCAATCGCTAGCAGACTAAGCTGTAAACAGTCCCTTGCAAGAGCGAAGAATTTCTGTAACACTATACGTGTCTCATCTGATAAATGAGACATATGTCCCATAAATATTTTCATAGTTAAACCTCCAACTTGAGTTCTAATCTAGCTAACCCAATTTATGGCTGGCAAAACCGAATTCTTCACCTTCCAGCAGTACCAGTGTAATCGCTCATTATGCTCTGCGTATCTGGGATAGCCAAGAAAATTCTCATCCGAATCAAAGGCGTGAGCAACCTTGAGCACATCTTCATTTGATGATTTTTCAACAATGTCGCTCTTACCATTCTCATCTGAGCATCTCACCTCTTTTTAACCACATATCATCTTGCCTTGACAACCGATAAAGGGGGTGCTCCAATTGCAAACGGTGGCTTGCCACATTGATTACCGGCCATTACCCAATACAAATTTACGACGCTACGTATACCCGCAAGAAGGGGATTAAGTCATAATGTACAAAGCTCGAGTCCTGGCTCTTGTGGGACTATTGCTCTAACTAGACAGCCAACTTAAGGGAGTAGAGCCGGCTGAGATGTGAAGCGATAGGGGGAAGAAATCTCTGAATATAATTGAATTAAATTTAAATCCTTACTAAATATATGACTATGAAGGGCTTCAAATATCTGAAGGCCACGCTGGCACCGATGTAATCGAGGGGGACTATTCTCAACACCTGTCAGTGGTGTCTCCTACGAACCTCCAGCTCTCACTATAGAGTTTGCAGAGCCGAGATTGAGTAACAAAGTTCTCACTTCGACGAGGATTCCCAACCGCTTTCGCGGTCTGTATCGTTTTCACCTCTGTACACATTCCACTATCACCATTTTTATGAAGCTAACCACGATCAGATCAGATGGTAGGGTCGGAGCCTCACTCGTCACCAACCCTTGATCATGGAGGAAAAGCCATCCGATGAGTTTCCGGAGCGCATCCAGCACCCGATACGGAGATGGTGGATTGGATCAAGTCAACCTCAACTGTTACAAAGAAGAGAGATATAGATGAACATGCGCACCTCATGTGGTCCCGGTGTCTAGGCCTCGCCTGGCTGGGGCAGCAGGTTTTTTGAGACTTTTCTCGCGCACGCAGTTTGCATCGCTACCCTTATGTTTTTGGGTAGAAGGTTCCGTGGAAAAGGTAGCTGAATTCCATGGGTAAACGCTGAGCTGAATGGATATTTATCAAGGGGAATATACCAATGATCTTTAAAGTAACAAGAGAGGATAGGAGCACTGTACAAGGTGTGGCCTGGGTCAGAGAGGAGCCCAATGTGCTGGGTAGTCTATGACTCAAGTAGTACAATTAACGTGCCTCTCTCTCCGTTATTTCTCAATCTTGAATTTTCACACTCTACAATGAGAGATAGAGGTTCATAGGGGACATCATCGACAGGTAAGGATAATAATTTCCCTAGGTTGGGCTGTAGATATTTTGAGAATTTTACACCGTTGTGCGGTAGAAAGTTCCACATATGAGCTGGCTAGCTTCTACTAATGAACACTAAGCTGAATGTCTAATCATCAAAGGAAATATATTAAATACATCTAATGTAGCAAAAGAAGATAGAGGCGCTGTAAAAGGTCTGGCCCGGACTAGAGAGGAGCCCAGTGTGGCAGTCTCAGGCTGAAGCGGCTAAATAGAATCAAAATCAAGCCTTGAGCCTATTTCATGGTATACAGGAAGGAAATTTGTAGGTAGCCACTAACCTATTACTTTAGTTTTGATGGCTTTATCTGAAAGTATTGTATTTTATTTGGCACATGTAGTACTATTATATGAGGTATGATAACTCACTTCATAGCCCTCGCCATTATTGTATATGCTCTATCGCTGATTTTTGGAATTTATAGGGAAAATATTAAAGATTTGACATCTATTCCTCTTTTATAAGTAACATAAACAAGAAAATTATGGATCAGCCAAGGTTAATTTTTCCTAAGAAGTCCCCACATTTTTGCAGTAGTTAGGCTCCCCAAAAGTAGTGGATGCCGGCAAAGAAGAATTCTTCACCTTCCAGCGGTGCCGGTGTAATCGCTCAGTATGCTCTGCATATCTGGGATAGCCAAGAAGAATCGCATCCGAATCGAAGTCGAAAGCAAACACATGCATATCTCCATTTGAAGACTTCTCAACCAGGCAGCACTTACCATTATCTTCTGAGTCCTCAACCCCGATCTAAACACATATCATCTCGCCTCGCCGACCGATAAAGGCGTCACCCCAATTTCAAACAGGAGCTTGCCTCATTCATCGCTGGCCATCACTCACTACAAATTTATGACGCTATTTATACCCGCAAGGAGGAAATCAAGTCGAAAAATACAAAGTTGGGGTCTTGGTTTATGGGGGACTGATGCTCTAATGGGGTTATACATCTTGAGGAAGGACAGCCTGCTGAGTTGTGGAGCGAGAGGGGGTACTGGTCTCTGAAGACCATGCTAGGACTGACATTTTCGAGGAGTTTTCAACTTTGGATTTTTTGTGGGCGCCAAGACCAAGATTTCGGCTAATTAGCCAGGAGGACTTCTTTTGTCGATGAGTCAACGGCACTCCCCAGCGCCCTGGACGGCACGAAAGAAGTTGGGCTAAGCTACCATACAGCAATCACGCTCTGCCAAGACTTTTCTGACATTTCAGCACGACCTTCGGGAAGGAGTTGTAAGGAGGCTAGAAAGGCAGAGTGTGAATTTCCCGAGGTACCCGCAAGTCTGCAGCGCCCAGCTGGCCGGCCTCTTCGAACGCTTCAGAAGGGGCAATATGTCTTCGGATTTATTCCTAATGTCGGTATTAGTAGAGCCCCGCACCCAGTGTTTTTTGCGATTTTTCCCGGCTGCCATACACCCGCAAATGGCCATCGTTTCGTTGGCTGGAGAGGGGAGAAAATGAAGGGCAAAGGGCTCCTCTTAGTGTATGATCGAATGAGGACTTATGAGGGGTGGTACTGTCTGAGGGGAGCTGTATGGGAGGCATAGGAGGGGATATACTACTGGTATAGGTATCCTTGGCCTGTAGGCAGAGAGGACCTGCATGTCCTACATGGCCATAGACTCAGACAGGACAATAAAATGAATTAATTATAATAATAATAAAAGTAGTGGATGAATTAATTCTAATGGTGTGTGTATGACGAGGGTCACACACCAAGTTTCAATTAAACCACTTCCGGACACTTAACTACCTATGTACGCTATCTGAAAGAGCGTTCAGATTAAATGTTATTTATCGTCAATTATCCTTCTTTGATGCTACAAGATGTTTATCTATAGTGTCATAGCTAGTTAGGCTGCATACGCTTTATGAATTAAAATATATATATATATATATATATATATATATATATATATGTATATATGGTTGTCTGTCTTACATGAGGATAATAGATTCTCCGAGTATTAGGATTCATAGGTCAAAAGAGTAGCACACGAGGTCAAGACTACTCAATGCAAGAAAGCTCTACCGTAAAAATTACTCTGGAAAATGGGCTCGGGTAGAACTTTTGATAGCCTAGCTTGGTTCTATTTTATGGAGGCTGAATGATCCTCATGCTCAGTGCTATTTCGAACCATCTATCACTAGTCTATGGGTTTATTACATAACGTGGTTGAGAAAAATGATTTAAACTAGGATAGGGATAGAAGAGTTGTTGATATGTACGGGTTGAAAGTTATGTGTACCTACGGTCTTGTTGCGAAATCACGGAGCTATTCCCCTAAAAGGCTGTCTTTCTGAATTGTGGTGATCGAACATTTGCATAAATAATGCTGTTGGCAAATAGTGGTATCAGACTTCTCAATCGTGTACCGTAATAAAATTAGAGCAGATAAATCGTCCATTATAATACAAAATTTTTCATTGAAGACTCATTTGTTTCAAAACAAAATAATGTTCTGAATCAAGAGCTTCAAACTTTGCACATATCCTTGGCCGGCTTAAGTAGTCAAGAAAAGTTGTGTGACGGTATTATTCGATGCCATGTGCGTGGAAAATGCAGATAGTGTTATTATAGAATAAACATTCAAGCGTTATTGAAACAAGTGACGATAGCCCAACCGAATCAAGCTCATAGCTTGAACACTCGATGTTTGAGGTAATATTAGTTGAGGCTGGCAATAGAGAAGTATTATTTGGTATGAAATCCGAACTTCTGGTAAGCTAGCTGGAAGGGCCAGAGTCACCGGACATGAGATTTCTTCATGTGGATGACTCATTTTTTGATTGTATTGTACGAAAATTTTGAAAAGTAATTGATTATCATCTGTGCCTATCACAAGTTAACGTTTAAGCTTCGACATTCACAGTTGTTCATAATCCGTATGAAGGTGACGATTTAGTGGTATCTATCATTCCAAATCTGTAAATTTATATTTATGCATACTAAAGATTACTACACGGATTCTTTTGTCCTGTTTCGTGGCGTTAAACCTTGACTGCGTATTAGGGCATGTAGGTGTTAAATTGCTGGGATGCTTCCTGACCCGGCCAACATAAAGAATACCGCGTCTAGTATTCTTGCGTTAGTCAGTCGTCAAATAAGTCAAGTGTTAGGAGATGTGTAACGCTTTGAACCATTATATGATTTCCATTGATATTTATTTGGCGACGGCAGATTCATGTTACTTTGTATAATATAAATGGATATTATGTAGACGTGACGCCCAACTATTTTTTTTGGGTAGGTAGGTCCAGTTTCAGTCGGTCTATTTTTATAGTTGCACGAATATGGCCCATGACAGTTTTAGAGGCATGACATCACCCAAGCGTTATTCGAGTTGCGCAGAACAGAGTAGCTCTTTACATACTCAACGATCATTAAAATTGTCTCACCTGTCATTGCGCTGTGTCATGTGTATGAATTTTTGCTCAATGAGTCGTTTAGGCAGAGGGGACCGGGAGTATTGTAATTGTCGTTGTAACCATTTAATGTAATTTCATCTTCATTTTTTTTAAAAATAACAATGTGTATTGGCCGTTCAAGAAGTCTTGTTACTTAGACGGTTTGAGAAAAATATGGTGGAAGATTATGGATAGGCGTTAAGGGTTACTATGTGCTCCGCCACTTTCAGGATTAGAAGTATATTATGTGGCAGTGATACTGAGTATTTTTGCGCTAATGCGTTTTGTCAATGAACGAACAAAAGTCTTAACAGAGATTTTTTCCTAGCCCTCTAAAGTTTTGCTACTGTGGTGCCGGTCCAATCTGCACCATGAAGTTTCCTCGCAGGTCAAGGTGGCGAGCTAATTGTTGAATTTTCGCCACGGTGTAAATGGCGATCTAGCCAACGGCTTATTTGATTACTCAGCTTCATCCATTGCATTAAATAGATGCGAATGAGCGGCTGGGGTTATGGGACCGGGGTGTGATCTATAACGGGCGCATTTCCCAAATAAAGCTTAGTCCATCTGAACCTGTCCAGGATATGGCGGCTGAAGGGACAGGGAAGGGAGAGTTGTGATGAACAAGGGCACATAATCATGTAACAACCTTGTCCCTTAGTCTCTCTCTTCCGTCCATCTTTCCTAGCAGCTTATTCTTATGCACATCGCAGCTGTTCTCGCCAGTATTTGCTGCTTGCTCGACTGCTACGTGAACCAGGAATGTCCCAGTAAGCCCATCAGAGGGTATCCAACATGTCATACGACTTCGATGCCCGTTCTTAGGAGTCTAGTCTAGGGGTTTCCTGATTGACCTACTTTTGTAAACTGCGCCATCACTACTTATAGTCCGGCTGACCTAGCGGCAGTTAGCGGCTGCTGATGAGAAGGTGATTAGATCCGTCTATTGGCTAGTAGCCCTCACCTATACGGAATCCTGGTCGATAGAACCATTGATCAGCAGCAGGCAATAGTTCGGAAAAGATCGCCCTCGGCTAACCGTTGCTAAGTTTGGGGAGGTTCCATTCTATGACCTCCATATATCATCTAGGAAGAAGTAGTAGGAAGATATCCGAGACCGTTTGATCGCTCGCTCTACTATACCGACGTGGGAACTAGGTAGCTCCAGCACAAGCACAAGCAGCAAGTCATCTCACACCAACGCCAGAATCTCAGACCTATTCCTCCAGCCTGTGTGGTGAGTTTGGTCCTCTTTCTTTCCTTCCATCTTTCAACCTCCTTCTCCGGACTCTCACATTCTTCCTACACTCTTTACTTCCCAGTCGCTCCTTGATTATCTCTATTTCTTTAAATCTATCTCTTCATCCCTCCTTCTCACATCAGTCCACCCTGGACCCCCCTAACCCCCCTAACACAAACGATTAAAACACAATCCATCACGCTGCACTGACAACAATACATCGCCATCTCTTAATCCTACCTCGTCTCGTTCTGTCTAGACCTTGCCCTGACCAATACTCATCGTCCTACCCAAGAATGCCATCACAAGAACAGAAGACTCAAGCCTCGACTAGCAACGGCTTTAATGGGTAGTGCCCGCACATTCCATGTCCCTGCTCTCTTTCTAATTTTTAATATCTAATATCCTACTTTGATATCTATAATTGGTGCCCATCTTCGATATCAGTTATTCTAATTCTTAATCTTCATCATGCCAGCACCGATATCTTACCCGACGAAACGGGGTATCGTCTTCTACTGTCCTCCATCTACCAGCAGTGACAGAGCTGAGCCAGTACGGCTTCCTAGTCCGCCTTGTCGACCACGGATACGCCGACCACATTCAATTTACATTACCCGACTTCCTTCACCAATTACAAATCCACGTTCAACCAATTCAGCCTTATCGACATACTCATCTCGATCGACATTGTCGAGTAGGCCTAAAGTCAAGTGCCGCGACTTAAAGAGGATTGTGCTACGGGAGACCGCCAAACGTGTCCTTGCCTCAATTGTATCACTCATTTCTAAGTCATCACCAGCACACGAGACCGTAACGGCACACAACTCGAATAGCTCTAAGCTCTTCCATCATTTTGAATCGGCGAGATCAGCTCTGACTGTCACATCTTTACCTCAAGACCCCCGTACAAGAGAGAATTGCAGCTTGAGAACAGGCTGGACTCGAACGGAGACCGATATGTTACGGCTGTCATTAGGGGAAAACTCGTGGAGACCCACCACAAATGCGGATAACTTGACACCAAGAAATAGTGTCAGCCTTCCCAGCCCGCGAAGTAGTTTAACAGGAATATCAAATTATACATTGCCTCGGCTAACGACGGATTCTGAAAAGCCGCTAGCATCAGGAAATGGAGTCTCATGCTATATCTTGATGGCTGAGCCTGTTATATTTCTTATGGGACTCGATCATGATGGGACTACCAGAGATTCTCACGGCGCAAACGCGACAGCACTGCTCCGAGGTACTTTACGCCTGAATGTGACCAAAAGTACGAAGATAAAGTCTGTAAGTCTCAAGTTCACAGGAAAGGCCAGGACCTTGTGGCCTGAGGGAATACCCCCACTCAAGCAAGACACAATAGAAGAGAGCTCTCTTAGGACTCAGGTTATCCCTTTTTTTAATTCAGCGTATGAGGGGTCAGAATCTAGATATGGAAACTTGTGTACTTACACCTTACGAGACGGTAATTCTACTCTGTCATCGAACAATAACAACTATGAATTCACGAACCCTCATCATTCGAGCAGTTTTTCTTTATCTGGAATAACAAACAGACTCAGTGCTCTTCCACAAAACAGTGAGGGAAGGCGCTCTTCTGTTCAATCTATTCAGTCAAAAAGTTTCCTCAAAGGGGAAGCCGCACCCGGCTCATCAAATCTGAAAGGTTACAAGATTTTCTACCCAGGAGTCTATGATTACTCATTTGAACTACCAATTGATAATAACATGCCCGAGTCGACAAACCTACCCCTGGCAAACGTAAAGTGGGAACTCGAAGCCACAGTCGAACGTGCAGGGACATTTAAAGCTAACCTTTCGGGAAAGCGAGAGATACCAGTTATACGATCACCATCTCAAGACTCCCTCGAACTCGTTGAACCCATCGCTGTAAGTCGAACCTGGGACCAGCAGTTACACTATGACATCGTGATATCGGGAAAATCATTTCCAATTGGGACCAAAATACCCATCGCATTTAAATTAACTCCTCTAGCTAAGGTCCAAGTTCACAAAGTAAAGGTCTACCTAACAGAAAACATTGACTACTACGCGCGAGATAAAAGTGTTCAGAGAAAGGATGTGAAGAGGAAGATGCTTTTGCTCGAGAAATCTGCGGGTAAGCCTGTCTCTAAAGAATTTTGGCCATCTGAAGTTCGCATAATCGGGGGGGAGCATTCTGCAGAAGAAAGAGAGATGCGAAGATCTATAGCTATGCGGAGACGAGAAGTAGAAGCACAGCGGAATAACTCTCAAGCAACGCCTCTGCCTGAGTGTGTCGACAATTTATTAGGTGATATTGATCTTGGAGTAGATGACTGGTTGGGGCCGACAGAGATTGAAATGAACGTACAACTCCCTACTTGCGACGTTATGGAAAAAGATCGCAGCAAGCGCTTAGCTCATGATTGCACATGGAAGAATGTACAGGTCCATCATTGGTTAAAGGTAAGTTTGACGATCTTGCCAAAGCTAACGACACTGGGTATTGATATAGTTGTAGATCTTAATACGTCTATCCCGAGCTGATGTCGCTGATCCATCAAGGCGTCGCCACTATGAAATATCGGTTGATTCACCTATATCCCTGCTAAACTGTAGAGCTTCACAAGCTAATATATCCCTCCCCGAATATTCGGGTTTGAATCCGGACACTCTTGGTCCACAACAGGTTTGTGGTTGTACAAGTACAACTCAAGCTGCGGAGGCCTTACTAGCCCAAACATCCTTGAATGATAACCATATGGTTCATGAAAGTACAAGATCCACGGCCAACTCATCGAGTCTTGCCATACCAGCACAAGTATACCTATCGACGGGTATCGCAGATGGTTTTCGAAGGCCAATTCATCTTGTGCGCAGCCCCAGCTTCCAGCCGCCACCATTTGACGCTGAAGAACCTCCTCCACCGATTACGACGACGCCGCCTCCTCTCTATGATCATGTGATCGGAACACCAAGTCACGATGGTCTCGCCGATTACTTTGCTCGGCTCGATGCATACGAAGATGAACTTACGGATGAAGAAGATAACATACCTTCGGTAAGACATAGAAGTGTTGTATCAGATCCGCGTACTTCTGCAAACCACATGCCGAGAGTTATAGAGCTGAACAGGGATTTTATTTTTAGCACGACTTCAACAAATAGCATTATGGCCGGAATAGACTCTGGATTTACCGCCTCGTGATGCAGGAACTAACCTCGAGAAATATGGTTTGATGAATTATGAAAAAATTGGGGATTGATGCGCGAGTGAAATTTCAAATTTAACTCTTCGGCAGCGGCGTCTGATTAGGATATTAAATCAAGTTTTTGGTGGCGAAAAAAGCGTCGGCGCTGATTATCATCCAGGTGTTATAAAGGGAAATTTTGATGATGGGAAATACAAAATTATTATTACTACTAATACCGGGCAAACTTAGAGGCATTAGGAAGTTAGGCTCCAATATTATCACTATCCTTGCACTTTCCCGTCTTGCCACAGTTGTGATGGTTTTTTATTCACAGCCTCTGTAGAAATTTTTTAGCCACACCAGAAATCCTTCGATGTCTTTTGCAGTCAGACCGTATGGAGGACTGGCTTTGAGTTGACTGCACTCGGAAAGCTAGCTGTTTCATGAAGTGTTGGTAGACATGAACTTAACAGAAGAATTCCCAAAGAACTTGAATTGGAAGAAAAGAAGAGAATAACGCAGTGCTTATTGTCTGCCACCGAGTAGTTTACGCGAGAGAGAACGAAGGACAATCCTTCCGATGATTATTGACTCAACTTGATTTAATTTGGTCAGCGGGAAGTCTAAGTGTCTGGCTGCTGCAGTACTAGGTAAGTATGTCTCAGGTTTCCAGGTGACACTGCATGTCCTCCGTGACAAAGACCCTGCATCGGCCTGAGCCCTTTCGGATGGCGCACGATTGAGACAAAACTAGCATAACAATACCCCAGAGCGATGCCGAACACTGAACATCACTTTGACCAAGCTATTAGAGGAAGATCCACAGCTTTTATCCCGCATAAATATTGTGCCAGCATTTGCGTCGGGCTCAGTGCACTGAGACTTTGCAGCCTGCCACGCACGGTTGAATCGCGAGGGTGCGACACGACTCCGGTTTGCTCGTGGGGAGTGGAAGGGACAGCGGAGGCCCCCATCCACAGCTGGTGTGAAGGCAGAGAGACTCCTCGATTTCGAGACGAGTGGTTGAAGTTGAGGGAATCTTGTTTCAGCATGGTGGGAGTAAACGCTTTTGGGCCTGCCACAATAGAGAGCGCACCCATTTGCGGAGGTGAACAGAGGTACGACGGCAGCCAGGGCAGAATACGGCGATGGGGGTTCGAGATAGGCGGGACGAAGCAAAAGTTGATGCCAAGACATAGAGAGCGATCTACGACGCCATTCGGCGATCGGGCTAATAGTTATTTTGAAGACACCGGCACAAAACTGGCGTGGATTAAATTAGATAGGCATAGACAATAGATTCCTCTGGTAGTGTGAGCATGCCCAGCCATTCCAAACGCGCACTCGCAGACACCAGCGTCAGCTCAAGCGCGAGACGTACGCACACACAGTAGGTCGGTGCGATTGCTGTGAGGCCTGATGGCAACGAGATAGCCGGGACTAAATCAATCTTCTCTGCGAATTTGCCTGATTTTACAACAAGCTAGAACTAACCTGCTTAGAGGGCTGACTAGCAGGAGTAACCCAATAACACCATATCAGTCGACTGGCTGACAAGTTAGTAACTATATAACCTGACTCGTTGACCGGCTGGCCAGTAGATATCAAACCAAGGACGGGTACCTACTATCCTCTCTCGTGGAAATGGGAACTGCTAGGGCTATGCCATCACTCGTGCGACAACCGCGAGTACTTGCACTATTGGGCCGGGTGGTATCCCAAGTCAATGTTAGTTTCATTGGGCTCGCAAATCTATACCTGCACCTTCAAAGACTATTTAGAGACGAACTATTGAACAAGGAGTATGGATGGGGCTCACAGTCATATCCCCTATCGATTTGTATGTTTCGCATTAAAGCTGGTAGTGTGGATATGGCCATGAAATACTTTCATCTGCCGATAGCAGGTGAGCCATAACTTCATTAAAGACGTCTACGGATATCTAAGTTCCCGTCCCTAACGTTCCGTGCGCCTAACTTTCTAGCCTCGTATACTATGTATCATTCTGAAGGAATCCAACTTGAACTTTGAAGTACATAGCCGTTCAGTATACGCTTACAACACTGGAGGCCCCTGAAGCGTGGTAACCGAGATGAAACACGAAATAATTTGGCCAAGAAGGCAAAGTTTGGGTATAGAATTCAAACAATATTCCCTGGATTCCTCCTCGTCGGCACGTTTTGGCTTAGATCTCTTCACTATCCATCACTCGGCCCTGTATCGTGCTAGCCATCGCGCAGACTATGTGATTCTTTGGCGAGGCCCACTGCTACCAGCAACATTTCGGTCGACGGGGTGGTTATAAGATTTCGCCCTCGTCCTCGACGGGATGCGTGATTGGGGATACATCTGCCTGCACGCTACTATCGCTCATAGATTCATCACCGACGCTGCTCCACGGTACCAGAGCCACTTTACTGTTGGGTTCGCTATTTTCGACTTCAATGTTCCTCGCCGGCGCCGGCTTGACTTGTACCGGCTCATGCACTTTTACACGTTTGGGAAGGTGTTGGCGTACTTCGGAATTCACTGCGTCCCAGGTCTGCGCCCGCTCAAGCGTGCCGCGAGCGCGTGCACGACTTTTCTGTATCTTCGTCGCTGTACGATCGCCGACAGCCTCAGCCCGATCGAGACCGCGCTTGTGCCGTCGTCGTGCCTTGGTGCTCAATATTGTGCCTCCGCGACTTCCAATCTTGCTGGAAATTCGCGCTTCTTGCGCTGCTGGAATCACCGGCCGAGGATGTATGCTGCTGTCGCCCGGTTTTGTGTCAATGATTGACTTTTCAAGTTTTAAGCCCGGTGACGGTGCACGCCGAGCTGCACGCGAATGCATAGATGCGGCTTTTGAATCAGGTTAGCAGGTCATTATTTCGGAGTGATTTGAGTAACCAGTTTACATTTCTTTTTGACTGGTGCTGTTTTTGCCATATTTTGGTGTTGAACAAACTTTGGCTCTACATTTACGTAAGCTTTGGACTATTTGTTTCTCGGCAAATTAAAGCGCACCTCCAATACGTCTAGCGAGTAACATTGATGGGTATCACGATCATTTCTTCAGTATTGTTTTTCTTGAACAGCAAACTGACACTAAAAATATAATCTACTTAAATTTACAAGGTTGGCTGAATTAAAGAGAACCTAGGTCATATATTAGGAGAATGATGCTCTATCGCATCGAATACGTATAAACCTTGTTTCGACCACCGGTAACCATCAGATTATCATGATATGGCTATATCAATGTTCCCAACGCCTCGCTTCGATAATTTGGTATTTTACCAATAAAGTCATATAAAACAATACCAAACCATTACCACATCATCTACACCATGACAAAAGATCTTGTTGGAATATCCTTTTGGTTTCGTTCATCAGCTCTACTAGCATCTATCCCATTGATATCCCATGACTCCTGTAAGGCGGCGACTGAATTTTTTGTCTTGAAATCGGGTTGTGTTTCTTCGCCGTAGTTTACCTCGTGGTTCAGGCCAGTGTCATTCCCAATTTTGTTTTGTCCATTACTCGAGGAAGGTTCTTGTAGCCCTAAACGCAAGTTTTTATCACTTGAAGAACAAGTAGTTGGCTTTAGTTCGAGGGAATTTCGCCTTATTCTTTCTTCTATAGGAGCTAAAATTGAGGATTCAGAGTAGGAAGCAGAGTGCTTCGTGGTTGAAGATTCTTCTTTCGTATTTCCCAAGTTTGACATTTGAAAAGATTCAGTTGCGGATGGTGGAAGATCGATACGTTCATAGAACAGCATAAATACACCTCCCTGAGCCAAAACATCTTCTTCGCTAACCTTTACCACTTCATCGTCACTCAATCGCCACCACTGTTGTCGTTTCTCAATGTTATTAGGACTCCAAACGGGTGGGTGAATTTTGTAGCAGACATAGTGTCCATTTTCGTGTCGCCCGTAGTGTGTAATAACGGCTCGTAACTCAAAAATTGGACCTTTTTGTCTTGAGTGCTTCGTAGACCCTGCAATCATGGGCTCTTCTGGTTCTAAAATCCATTCTTCGGTCAAAATATCACTGCCTTTACCAGCACTTCCAAGACACCAAGGGCCAAGATCTAGTATTTTTGGAAATCGAACCTGCGAACAATTTTTTTTGAACCCACCAGTCATGTCATCATATAAACTACGGTTGAAATGAATGACTAGTGATTTTGGAGGACGGGCAATAACCGCTTGCCGTGATTTAGTTGATGCAACCCAGTTTTTGTTGGTTATCTTGCAATTATTCTGCAGGTTCTTGTCTTCATACATATCTGTTTCAAGGGCCTCAGTAGTAGCTTGAAGCCTCTTTTCGACCTGTTCACGAATAGGACTGTTCTCAGCAGCATGATCCATACCCTCCTTGAACTTGGAGAGCACTTTTTGAGCATTGATTAATGTACACTTTCCACAGTTCACACCCTCAATCAGTTCAAGTTTAGAATACTCATCTAGGCATTGTGAAATACTTTGATTCGTGGATTGATTGAGTGGCAATGTTAAGCAATTGAAAGGAATTAGAAAAAGCCCTTCTGAATAACCGCATTCGGTGCATCCAACTCGCTGAGCAATCAAGCCCTCCAATGGATTTCTGAAATTTTCGAGCAGTGGTGTCCGTGGCTCAGTAATTTCTAAAGGGCCTAACTTGAATCCTTCATAATTGTAATCCGCTTTAGTTCTCATCTCTCTATCTACTTCATCCAAAATTTTAGAAAAGTACTCCTGCGCATCCTGCTGTTGCCAACTACTCATATTTTTCAAGGTGTCTGGCGTCCAGATCCTCTTCCCGTTATTTGACTGGTTATTTAATTTTCCAAGTAGGTTGCGTAATGCTTCTACCATTCTTAAGCCCGAATCTGTCTCTAGTTTTATTGTAGAATCACTTAGTTCCATTACTGGGGTGGAGAGGTGATTGTACAGAGACTTTAGTGATGCTAATCCTTGGAGAATGCTGTTTTGATAGCATGAGTTGTCCCAATTACCTAGTCCCGCAGGTCTATCATCATGCTCTTGCGTTGCAAAATTCATTCCTGATATCTTTCTTCCAGCTTGTACGACTGAATCAATGTGGTTTCCGGGTCTATCCATACTGAATATGCGACGCATTATATTGCTTTTAGCAGTACGGTTGTTTTTACTTTCTATACTAATAGCGTTTTTTGTGCTGTGTGAAGCCCAGAAGTCTCCCACAACATTGAGAAGTCGCGACGGTGTCAAGAAGACAAGCAGTTTCCAGAGAAGCTCGGTGAAAGGCACGAGCTTGAGATCTAAACGGTAAAATATCTGATAAATGATGGGTAGGCAACATAAAAGTAAGGGTAAGAGAAGACTTAAGTTTGATAAGGTAGAGTATAAACCTTCTCGATAAATTTGATGATATTCAATTTCAGAAGCACCACCAAAGATCTCATGAGACTGTGAGTAGGAAGCTTGCATGGTAATGCATGGGAGCAGGTGAATATGTCCAAGGTAATGTTTGGTTGCAGAGACGGGTCTTCATTCAACAGTGAGTTCGTTTTGTAGAATTGATGTGATCTGTGGTAACGATAACAATGAGTGGTGTTCCGTAGGGCTCGACTGAATCCAAATTTGTTTGCCTTTCAATTTGTCAGAGTTGGGTCTAGACGTGCGCCCTTGGTGACTAGGGGTGCCGATACGTGACAATATGCTCATCTAATTTGCAAGAAATTATCTCTAATTAGCATGACCGGCATTTCTTTACACCTAGCTAATTTGGTACATCTCTTCAAGAAATTCGATTTCACCAAGTCCATGGTAGCTCACACATACATAGTTCACTTAAAAGACAAGCAATTAATGCGAGAATCAATAGATCCCAACACATTTAACTATCACAATCCAAATATAATTTCTATATAATGTGGCTAGACCTGTTGAATATCAACTTTAAATAGTGCCAATAGATCCAGAATATTGCTCAGTGCTTACTACCGAACTCTGGGATACTTTAAATACCAAGACACTAGATATAGTTGATAAGGACTTTTCATATTAATTCCGGAGCTTCAGATGGGTTGCGTGTATTTATCTCGTCATTGGGCCACAAAAAATTCGAAACTTAAACAAGCTTCTACTCTATAGCAGCCGAAACATATGAGAAATTTCCAGCTAAGAATAGCCAGTCAATTCAGAGATTACTATGCTAGGACTCTTATGAATAAGATGTTGGTTGTGGGACCTCGAAACCCCCATCACAAATCTCTAAATACACCCTCTAGGATTCACTGCCAAGACACGTTGTACAAGCTCTTGAGTAGCAATTTCATATGGAGGCACTCGTACAGGGAACTGAAGTCATGCCGATTGGCTACATGACACAAAATTACACCCAAGAAGCTGCTCAAACTCTTAAAATAAGATCTAGCTTAGATCAGAAAAGCTCTCCCACAGCACAAAAAACTCTAAAACGCTATTTCGATTTGTTTACTCCGTAGATTTTGGGCAGCATGATCAAAACTTGTGGTTAAGTTGAAATTTTAAAAAATCGAATTCTAGTATGAAACAAGTAATATAGTGCGATCGTGCCGCTGTATAAACTATAAATGAGCATCGTCGGGAGAGACTTAACAGTGACTTTGGACGCCAATTTATCAAGTATTTTGTTTTAAGTCCAAAGTCAAATAATCTGCCACCAAACCACGACTTGCTTGGGATATAAACTGACAAATAATTTCCAAGAAACCAATAATATATCGAACAAGGGCAATCAGTCAAAAGTTAACTCCTGAACCTAATGACGAAACTCAGGGAAGATATATATTTAGGATTGGAAACCTTGAAAAAATTTGGAACATAAGAAGTTCAAGGGACTGGGCGCCTTCAGATTTCTTAATTGTTTGGGTTCTAGGCTAATGCTCTAAGTCCACTTTGGGTACAGAATCGGTAGGGCCGGCGAGGATCGCTGCGTACAGGCCCAACTTATTTCAACCGCGGGAACCACAAACAAAAGGATGAATTTAACAGCAAAACTGTAATCAATAACCAAAATCAAAAAACTAAAAACCAAAACCTGACATTAAATTTGGAAGAATTTCAATTGTAGTCCGAATCCCGCGGTTGTCGCCCGTTCCCTTTCCTGTCACATCTTCCAAGTGACTTTTCCTAATATCCGCTCAGAGGAAAACATGAGTTTGAAGATAACCTGAATACAGCCGGTATCTTGCTCTATATTGTTGAAGTTGCCATAGACTTCACCGTTGATTACTGTAACCTCAAACTTCTTCGGATTCCAGAACGCCGAAACCCAATCCCTCCGCCGTGGAGACTTCCTTTGTTGAGGCGATCATCGTCTCTTCGGTCTTTTTAGATGCATCTTTGAAACGGGCAAAGGCTGCATACCTTCCTTGCTGGACTTGGGGAATAGCCGCGAGCTACTCCTTATTCAGCGGTCCATCTTTCTTGGGTCTGGCCATGCAGTCCCGAGAGTCCGATCGATGAGGCCCTCCACAGTTACGGTACCATATGAGGGCTTCGCACTATGCTTCCGAGTGCATGTTTGATCCACAGTTCCAACAAGCTGGAGCGTAGGTGCCTTGAAATTATTATTGTTGTTTGCTTTATCTTTTCTCAGTCTTTTGCTCTACAGGCCATGCAGGTCATCTCTGCCTACAGGCCAAAGATACCTATGCCAGTAGTACATCCCATCTTTTGCCTTCTACATAGCTCCCCTCAAACAGTATCACTCCTCACAAGTCCTCATTTGATCATACACTTAGAGGAGCCCTTTGACCCTCATTGTCTACCTTCCCCAGCCAACGAAACGATTGCCACTTGCGGGTGTATGGCAGCCGGGAGAAATTGCAAAAACCACTGAATGCGGGGCTCTACTAACACCGACATTAGGACTAAATCCGAAAACATAGTGACCCTTCTGAAGCGCTCGAAGAGGTCGGCCAGCTGGGAGCTGCAGATTTTTCGGTATCTCGGAAAGATCACACTCTGCATTTCTAGCCTCCTTCCAACTCATCCCCGAAGCAGGGGTTAAAATGTCGTAAAAGTCATGACAGAAATGTTTGCTGTTTAGAAGCTTAGCCCTACTTGTTCGTGCTGTCTGGGGTACCAGGGCGTCCCGTGGACCCTGCAAAAAGAAAATTTATAATGGATTATTGGGTTGGATGGTGCACTGGCACACCATCCGGGCCGTTCCCCAATTAGACACGGGGTAGCTTGAAAATCTACCCCATTTGAGACAGAATTAAGCTGGTTCGAATCCAGTAAAACCCACACACCACTCTCTCTCGCGTTGATATTGTATTTGTCGGATGATGAAAGCAAACTCGGATGGCCACAGGTTTTTCACGCTTTTCCCTGTGGTGGGTATACGCAGAAGAGGTTATACGCCGTAAGGGTTAACCTCGAGTGACATCTACTAATGAAATCTTAGTTTGAGTGTTCTACACGCCCAATTGAGTCATCCTACTTAAAGTACATATCTTCCGATAAAAACCTGCATGGGCCTCAAGGCGCCAAATCAGGAAAATTGAATAATTTATTGTCGGAATACTTCAAGTGGACGGGTTTCGTGACAAGCTTGTTGTAACAATATTGGTATCAATTAATTCCTCTCTAACTCCCTCCCTCCCAAGGAACATCTAATAATTACATTGGGGAGCCAATTTCTTATTCCCAGCGCTATTCTATATAAGGAAATATTACGATAATAAGGCACGTGATATAATACAGAACTTTAATCAGACATTTATTCATTATGTACTGGCGTCTAAGCGCACTGGCTCACACAATATACGTGCGCCGAACCTTTCAGGCGTCTTCAATGTTGTACAGTCACACACGCCGTTTTGTGACGAACTGGGAGAGACGGGCCATCTTCTGCAAGTGAATTTAAGCTTCATTCAGGACTCCTCTGTCCCGCCTATGCAACTTATGCTCTCCATATGCCCTCTCTAGAATACAGAGACTGAACATCTGTACATAGTGACCTCTCCGAACCTAGTAGTCAAATATTCTTCTAAAGCCAGGCCCATTTCAATTTCGCTATTCCGAAGAAGTTGGCCCACGAGGCAATGACTAAGTATTGAATATTCGATCAACTTCCACTCCCGAGAAGATCGTTTCCGACGAAAGTTTAATCAAGTATAGCCTAGTAATTCCTCATTTCTATGACTACACTTCTCGTTAAATTAGCTTCTCGCCTTGAGTGGCCACCAAATATACGCCCACGACGATGTTTACACCCGCTGTAGGAAACAAATCGGGAAAGTAGACATTCGTGATGGACGTGAGAGATAATAGGATAGATAGGAGAGTCAATGCGAATGGTGTATACATTTTTGGAAGGGCTAACATTACGATATTTGGTACAGAGTTTTTCAAATTGAGTGATGTGCGCTACATGACTTTAATCTCGAACTATAGTCGACACTATAAAGACCGACCTGGGTGGAGGGTGTGGAGATATATCGTCACGCCTGGTCTGCTAAGTAGAGGCTGAATATCCTGGACAACTATCCCACTCGAGACAGAAGACGACTTGTTCGAACCTAGTAATACTTCATCATATTTCTCACGGTGCTAATCTATTTGGATAGCTAAGGCATGCTTGGATAACCAAAGGTTTTTGAATTTATCTTTACTAGGTACTCACGGATAATGGTCGACTGTTTGTGTTAACAAGCGTTCCTCATGGTGGTATTTACAAATGAAATCTAGAGTATGAGTATATCTTATATTAAAAGAGTCATCCAACGTGTATACATAGCTATCAGGTAACTGGGAGCCTGACCTGTGACAGGCGAAGTGTATGTAATTAAAGCAAAAGATAACTCAGTAAAAACAACTTGATTCTTATTTCTCCAGGAATCCTAGGACTATACACACTGATCATGATTGACTTGATCTCTTGATCTCTAAATATAGACATGCGCTAGGAATAGAATAACCTGCGGTTCTAAGTACAGAATTCAAGCACTGACCGAAATAAACAACCCACGTACGTATGGAGTCCCTATTTTGGGAGGGCAAGACTGAACACCTGTACGCGGTGTCCTCTACGAACCTGGGTGTGAAATATTCTCCCAGAGCCAAGTTCAGTCAAATTTCGCAATACCGAACAAGTTGGCCTACGAGGCAATGATTCAAATTACTCCACCATATCAATCTTTCACTCCCAACGAAATCGATTCCTACCTGAGCCTCATCAAATTTACAAGTACGACCTAGTACATCCTCATCCCAATGACCACACCTCTTGTCGACTTTCTCTGGCCTTAGCTGGTCGCCAGATACACGCCCACGCCGATATTTACACCCGACGGAGGAAGCAAAGCGTGGCGCACAAATCTGGAAGACAATTCCTTGGGATTGATGTGAGAGGGATCAGGACAAGTTAATAAGATGATGCAGAAGATGGATACAGTCTCGACGGGCGTGGAATTTTGAGTTTTGGAAAGGAGTCTTTACAAATTGAGCTTTGTGCGTGCCAGGTCTTCGGCTGCGAGAGTGCAGGCGACACTATAAAAACTGCCATGGTTGGATGGTGTGGTGGTACATCATCTTGGCCGGTCTGCCAAGTAGAGTCTGGATAGCTTGGACACATATCCCACTTGAGACAGTAGATCGCTGGTTCGAACCCGGCAAAACACAACCACATTTCTCGCGGCGCTGGTATGCATGGATGACGAAGGCATGCTTGGATAACCAAAGGTTTCGAAATTCCCTTTGGTGGGTACTAACGGAGGAGGGTCGACTGTTTGTGTAAGCGAACATACTTCATAGTGGTATTTGCAAATGAAATTTAGAGTATGAGTGTCTCCAACGTCAAAAGAGTCATCCCACATATATACATAGCGCCGGTCATGTGTCATAGCTAGATAGCTGAATACACATTAAATGATTTAAAAAAAAAAAAAAAAAAAAAAGTCCCTATTTTGACCCGAGACATTTCCCTGTCAAACTTCTTCGGTGGTTATTCTTAGCCTTCGACAATAGCACTGGATATATGTCATAGCTAGATAGTTGAATACAAAAAAACTCATTTATAAAAAAACGCCCAGTATCCTTTGTATATCTGGGATAGCTCAGAAGAGTCGCATCTAGATCGAATTTGAGTGCATGTCTACGATCGGCGACTGCTCACCAAACTGTTCTTGTCATTCTCCAGCGATTCTTCCAACTAACCTTTACCACTTGCGACCTCGCTCTAACGACTTACCAAGAGCTCACCCCAATTAGAGATAGGAGCTTGTCAAATCAATTACCGGATTTCACGCAGCATAAATTAACGACGCTACGTGTACACGCAAGTGACAGAGAGAGAAGTATAGCAATTGTACTACTTGAGTATTAGGCTATCTAGCACATTGAGCATCTATCTGGCCCAGGTCAAATCTTGTACAGTGCTCCTGTCCTATTTTGTTTCTTGAAAGATCATTAACACATTGCCCGTGAAATAGCTATTCGGTTAGCTTTTCACGGAACCTTCTACCCGAAGTTATTTAAAAAAAATGGTAGCAACGGAAACTGCGTGCACGGGAAAAAGCTTCAAAAAATCTGCAGTCCCAGCCGAGCGAGGCCGAGAAATCGGGACCATATGAGGTGCGCATATTCATCTTCCTCTCTCTTTTTTTAATCCTTCCAAGTCAACTTGATCTAATCCACCATCTCCGCATCGGGTGCTGGTACGCTGCGAAAACTCATCGGATGGTTTTTCCTCCATGATCAAGAGTTGGTGATGAGTAGGGCTCCGACCCTACCATCTGATCTGATCGTGGTTAGTTTCATGATAACGGTGATAGGGGGATGTGTTGAGAGATGAAGACGATACAGACCGCGAAAGCGGTTGGGAATCCTCGTCGAAGTGAAGACTTTGTTACTCAATCTCGGCTCTGCAGACTCTACAGTGAGAGCTGGAGGTTCGTAGGAGACACCACTGACAGGTGTTCAGAGTAGTCCCCCTCCGCAAGTAGGTAATTAAATATAAAATACAAATTTCGGGACCTGACTTAAAAGGGATTCTTGTTCTAATGAGACAAACAACTTGAGGGAGAAAATACGGTTGAGACGTGGAGCGAGAAGAGGAAACATATCTCTGATGATAATGCTTAAACGGACATTTTTGAGGGGATCTAGACTTTGGAACATTCATGAGCGCCAAGGCTAAGGTCTCAGGCAATAATCCATTAAAATAAATAAATTTTTCAATTGTCCTAATTTGGCGCCTTGAGGCCCATGCAGGTTTTTATCGGAAGATATGTACTTTAAGTAGGATGACTCAATTGGGCGTGTAGAACACTCAAACTAAGATTTCATTAGTAGATGTCACTCGAGGTTAACCCTTACGGCGTATAACCTCTTCCGCGCATACCCACCACAGGGAAAAGCGTGAAAAACCTGTGGCCATCCGAGTTTGCTTTCATCATCCGACAAATACAATATCAACGCGAGAGAGAGTGGTGTGTGGGTTTTACTGGATTCGAACCAGCTTAATTCTGTCTCAAATGGGGTAGATGTTCAAGCTACCCAGTGTCTAATTGGGGAACGGCCCGGATGGTGTACCAGCGCACCATCCAATCATTTGAGACGATTGTGCTACTGAGAGTTAGACAAATTAGGTGCTAATCTGATAACGACCTTGCAAGGCTGACATCGCGCTTCAGGGTTAATTGATGGCCTGAACGCACATCTACACGCGACATACGTTTAAACAAGATCGAAGTCCACGACAAGCGCATTAAATTTAAAACCATGACCGAGCAAACAGAATCGCACCAGCTTAATGAAAGATTTGCAGCAGAAGGAAAACCTCTGGACGCTGATGTTGAGGCGGAACTTCAGTCTATAATGCGTCTACACTCAATCGATGTGCAAGAATTGTGGTACAAATGGGAATCTTACTGTATGAAAATGGAATCTGATGACCTGAAGCTAAATATTGAAACTGTGCGGCAATTAAAGAAAGATGTACAAGATGTTTTGGAGCGTGAGAGTTGGAACAAGAAAGTACAACCTCAATCCCATAAACGAGGTACTACAAATTTTCGCCCTACAAACAGTAACAACAATGTGCTTGGAATGTGGGAAGGCCTCTCCATTTGAGACTGGAAACGTTAATTTACTATCTACAGGATAGAAAAGCTGGCACCAAATACAACCCAAGCTCGAGAGACGGGTCTAAACAGCTCTGAGACGCCATTTTCATCGAGTATCCTGACTGATTTAACCAGCAACCCATACGAAGTCAAATCTGCATCTAAGCCACATGATCAGAAAATCAATCTCGTGGTGTATGTGCCATAATATTAAGAAATTCGTCTTCAAAGGCTGATTCTCACCTAGATCCTCTGGTGACACGACCAACGCTGACCGAGTGACTGAAATCCTGAATAGTCACCTACCAACAGCGGAACCATTGCTAGCCCCTTTTACCGAATCGCGGATAAAGCTGACTGCCAACTCTGATATCAAGAAGCTATCTTACAAACCCATGGCAATGAAAAGTTTGGAGGCTTCCGAAATTCTAGACGACAAGATCGAGGAATTTATGACTCTACTGCAAGATCACCACCATATGGACGAATCTGAGTTTGGTAGTGCTACATTTAAAGGCATCAATGAAGTTGTTGTTGTCGGTCGTATTGCCTCTGACTCTTTAGATGCTAAACTAAATATCTTCTCGCTAGTGCTCGAGACCTCCCGGCGCATGGGTGCTGGGTTAAGGGTGCCTCTTAAATTTGAGGCTGAACAAGAATTTCAGCTCTTTCCAGGCCAAATTGTGGCGCTTAGAGGAATTAATACGTCAGGCGAGTATTTCACCGTGAGTGAAATTCTAGAGCTGCCACTGTTACCAAATGCTGCATCAACGTACGAAGCCTTACAGTCTCATGTCACAAAATTAAAAGGTGGGATTGACACTACAGAATTGACCTCAGGCACAGTTCCTTTAAAAATAATTATTGGTGCTGGACCATTTACTACCGATGAGAACCTTGAATTTGAGGCACTTCATGTTATATGCAACCGAACCGCAGAAATAGGTGCAGACGCGTTAATATTAACTGGTCCATTTATCGACATTGATCACCCCATCATTGCCTCTGGAGATTTCGACCTTCCTGAAGACACCCTTACAGATTCTGAGCCAGTAACGATGATAAATCTTTTTAAACACTTTATCACGTCCGCTCTTGCTCGTCTCATCGTTACAAATCCGCACATCACTGTAATACTTGTGCCTTCTGTTAGAGATGCTTTCAGTAAGCATGTCTCATGGCCTCAGGAACCTTTTCCCAGGAAAGACCTCTGTCTCCCTAAGTCGGTTAAAATTGTTGGAAATCCTATGATTTTGTCATTAAATGAAATTGTGTTGGGAATCTCTTCGCAAGACATCTTGACTCATCTCCGTATTTCAGAAGTAACAAATAACTTGCCAACAGATTCTTCTCTCCTAGCGCGCCTACCCAAGTATTTAATTGATCAACGCAGCTTCTTTCCTGTTTTTCCTCCAGTGAGCAGGGAAAATCTACCCAAGACGGGTACCCATAGCGGTATCCCAACAGGAGCAATGCTGGACACAAGCTACCTCAAACTAGGTGAAATAATTAATGTCAGACCAGACATTCTTATAGTGCCAAGTGCACTACCTGCGTTTGCAAAAGTCAGTTTCCGATCACATTAAAAAGTTCATTCAATGAATAATTTGCCTAATCTTGATGAGTAGGTTATTGAAAGCGTTGTTACCATAAATCCTGGATATGCATCTAAGCGTAAGGGTACTGGTACGTACGCGAAGGTTACGATACATCCAGCGACATTCATGAAGGAAGAAGAAAATTGCTCTTTAATTGCTCACAAACTTTTCGATAGATCACGCGTAGAGATCTTAAAGATTTAAGAAACGTTCGAGTTGAAGACCCCTGAGTCAGGTCGCGACAGCGAATAGATTTCGGAAATCTCTTATGCGGTAAATGCTCATTTTTCTTTAACCAGCTTGATGGGATGTATCAGATTCAAACAATCTTACCGATCCACCCTGCGTCGCTTTTCACGGTCGTGGAAGTTATTACTTCTCGAAGTACTTCGCCTTCTCCGACTGTTGTCATCCCGTCTGCTTTCTCTTCTCGGAGACCTTGAAGCCGAGCGACTTCTTAACCGACCACTTTGGTGCCTTTGTGCATTTGATTGACTTGCTTCTACTTTAGTATTAGACCTATTGGTAACAGCAGCGGCCTCTCTACGATTTCCAACGGGTACAATGTTCGCGCCACTCGCATCTGCAGAGTTTTGCCAATCAGAATGATAACGCTGGCCTGAATTATAATCATCCTTCTTACCCCTATGAGCTTTGTAGTCGTATTGCCCCCAGCTCCCAGTGTCTTCAGTCTTTAAATCTCGATACTTTGTTGCCCCTTTTTTACCAATCTTGGTCATATCTCGTCTTTGCAGAAACTGTGGAAGCAGCTCACGGTCATACTCGTCCTGAATCTTAGCTCCCATAATTTCACGCTGATCCAGGCCTTCAGCTTTGGCGTCATCATGATAAAATGCACCCTTGTGATAGTATTTTTGCATGTATGACATCTTCGCTTTACCTTCCTTCTCTTCTCTTTGTTTAGAAATGTGACGGTCATCTTCCGCCTTTCGCTCTTCTGCCGTCAAGTTTTTCCTGCGTTGGACCTCATCTAGCTCCAGCTCTCTCTGCTCTATTTCCTCTCTCTCTCTTTTAATGCGCGTCAGCTCTCGTAGTTTCCAGGCCGCATACTCTGCTTCTGGATCGATGCCATCTAAGTCATCGATATCATCATCTTCTTCTTCATCGTCCCAATTCTTCTTACCGGCTAACTTGGCCGCGAGATCCTTGCGGATTTGTTCTTCTACCATTTCATTGGCCAGCATTTTCCTTCGTGCTTCTTCCGCATGTAATTTCTGGTTCTCGATGTGTGGCTCAATATTCGTCGACGCTCCATTTTTTCGTTGGTCTCTTTTAATGAAAGTTGGACGCAGCTGGAGGCGCCGGGGACTCTCGTCACTACTGCTTTCCTCTGGCCCACTTTCAATTGAGTCACTGCTTTCTCCGCTCTCCTCCTCACTCTCAGTGACAAACTCGTCTTCGGCCGAGGCTCCCTGTGTCTCAACGCGGACTACCTCACCTGCGGTGGCCTTTCTCTGACGTTCGGCCAAATCAATATGACAAAGATTACTAGCGATGCCCGTAGATTTCGTGGTTGTCGAAGGGACGTCATCTGGCTGGGTCGGCGATGAGGGCGTATCATCTTCACTCTCCTCTTTTTCAGATGAGTCGCTGTCAGCTAGAGGCTTTCCTGGACGGTGCCGCGGCGCCTGGACGTGATTTGCGGTCATCCGCTTGGCTGGCATGGTAATTGGTGGCACAACTGTTGTATGAGATGTTGTGGGTGTGGATGAGGAATGTAATAACACTAGATATGGTCATCATTCGCATCGGGTAGACGCGCACGCACTTCAGTGCGGTACCGCCTGTGGACGCGCCACACCGGAGCACAGGGCAGGACAAAGACTGACCGCCTGTCAGCGTTGTCCTCCGTACCTGCGAGTAAAATATTTCCAATACTCAAGCTCAGTCAAACTTCGGTAATACGAAGGAATTGGTCTGAGGGCAAGACTGAACACCTGTACGCGGTGTCCTCTACGAACCTGGGTGTGAAATATTCTCCCAGAGCCAAGTTCAGTCAAATTTCGCAATACCGAACAAGTTGGCCCACGAGGCAATGATTCAAATGACTCCACCACGTCAATCTTTCACTCCCGCCGGCAAAGACGAATTCTTCACCTTCCAGCGGTGCCGGTGTAATCGCTCAGTATGCTCTGCATATCTGGGATAGCCAAGAAGAATCGCATCCGAATCGAAGTCGAAAGCAAACACATGTATATCTCTATTTGACGACTTCTCAACCATGCAGCACTCATCATTATCTTCTGAGTCCTCAACCCCGATCTAACCACATATCAACTCGCCTCGCCGACCGATGAAGGCTTCACCCCAATTGCAAATAGGAGCTTGCTCCATTAATTTCCAGCCATCTCTCACTACATATTTACGACGCTATTTATACCCGCAAGGAGGAAATCAAGTCAAAAAATACAAAGTTGGGGTCTTGGTTTATGGGGGACCGCTGCTCTAATGGGGTTATACTTCTTGAGGAAGAACAAGCGGCTGAGATGTGGAGCGAGAGGGGAAAGGGGTTTTTGAAGACCATGCTGGGACTGACATTTTTGAGGAGTTTTCAAATTTGGATTTTTTGTGGGCGCCAAGACCAAGATTTCGGCAAATTAGCCAGGAGGGCCTCTATTGTCGATGAGTCAACGGCACTCCCCAGCGCCCTGGACGGTACAAAAGAAGTTAGGCTAAGCTACTATACAGCAATCACGCTCTGTCAAGACTTTCTGACATTTCAGCACGACCTTCGGGAAGGAGTTGTAAGGAGGCTAGAAAGGCAGAGGGTGAATTTCCCGAGGTACCCACAAGTCTGCAGCGCCCAGCTGGCCGGCCTCTTCGAACGCTTCAGAAGGGGCAATATGTCTTCGGATTTATTCCTAATGTCGGTATTAGTAGAGCCCCGCACCCAGTGGTTTTTGCGATTTTTCCCGGCTGCCATACACCCGCAAATGGCCATCGTTTCGTTTGCCGGAGAGGGGAGATAATGAAGGGCAAAGGGCTCCTCTTAGTGTATGATCGAATGAGGACTTGTGAGGGGTGGTACTGTTTGAGGGGAGCTGTATGGGAAGCATAGGAGGGGATATACTACTGGTATAGGTATCCTTGGCCTGTAGGCAGAGAGGACCTGCATGTCCTACAAAGTCATAGACTTAGACAGGACAATAAAATGAATTAATAATAATAATAATAATAATAATAATAATCTTTCACTCCCAAAAAGATCGAATCCTACCTGAGCCTCATCAAGTCTACAAGTACGACCTAGCACATTCTCATTCCAATGACCACATATCTTGTCGACTTTCTCTGTCCTTAGCTGGTCGCCAGATACACGCCCATGCCGATATTTATACCCGACGGAGGAAGCAAAGCGTGGCGCACAAATCTGGGAGACTATTCTTTGGGATGGACGTGAGAGGGATCAGGACAAGTTCACAAGATGATGCGAAGGATGGATACGGTCTCGACGGGCGTGGAATTTCGAATTTTGGCAAGGAGTTTTAACAAATTGAGCTTTGTGCGTGCCAAGTCTTCGGCTGCGAGAGTGCAGGCGACACTATAAAAACCGGCATGGTTGAAAGGTGCGGTGGTACATCGTCTTGGCCGGTCTGCCAAGTAGAGTCTGGATAGCTTGGACACATATCCCACTTGAGACAGAAGATCGCTGGTTCAAATTCGGCAAAACACAACCACTTTTCTCGCGGCGCTGGTATGCATGGATAACGAAGGCATGCTTGGATAACCAAAGGTTTCGAAATTCCCTTTGGTAGGTACTTACGGAGGAGGATCGACTGTTTGTGTAAGCGAAAATACCTCATAGTGGTATTTGCAAATGAAATTTAGAGTATGAGTGTCTCCAACGCCAAAAGAGTCATCCAACATGTACACATAGCACCGGTCATGTGTCATAGCTAGATATCGGAACACACATCAAATGATTTTAAAAAAAAAGAAGGAATTGGTCCCCGAGGCAATGATACACGACTTTACACCATATCAATATTTCACTCCTGACGAAATCAGTTCCTACCCAAGTCTCATCGAGTTTACAGTTACGGGCTGCTGCCTCGTTTACCTGGAACCGGAGTTTGTCCGTCTCCCAACAGGCGTCATTCCTAATTTAGTTAGGATCGTGTAATTACTTATGTAAGGTCCAGGATGCTAAGCGTCGCGTAATCTTAATACTCTGGTAAATGCCTTCTAGGATTACACCTGTTAGTTAGAAAATAAATATCATTTTCGATATATATTTTCGAGATGCTGGCGTACAGTCCTTTAACATTTACAAATACTAATAAGTACATCCTCAATTCAATGACCACACCTCTCATCGACTTTCTCTAGCCTCAGCTGGCCGCCAAATACGCGCCCGCGCCAAGATTCATACTTGCCGGAGGAAACAAAGCGTGGCACACAAATCTAGGAGGTAGTTCTTCGGAATGAACGCGAGAAAACCAGGATAATGTTACAGCGTGGTGCAGGGTACGAATATTACCTCGCCGTTTGTGAATTTTGGACTTTTTGGAAAGAATTTCATAAATTTGAAGAGGATTCTGCGCATCAAGACTCCTAATAGAAAATTGCAGCATAGACTGTAATTAAAATCTAACGATGGATGGCATCGTGGTCTCCCTCCTGGTGGTAGTCTCTGGGATAGTTTGCGTGGGCTGGACACCTACTCCACTTCGGAAGGAGAAGCCTCAGACCAAATTTCGCGCGGAGAAATTTCAGTGGATGATGTCGACATGTCTGGATAGCTGAGGGGTTTTGAGACGTTCCCCTGGGTGGGTATTCACGGATGAGGGCTGACTTGGGGTGAAAAAAAAGCCACCATAACTTCGCAGTGGTACTTGCAAATGAAATCTGAGGCATGAGTGCTCTTCCATTACGTTGAATCATCTATTCTGTCCTTTTCTTTGATATTGTGTCATAGCTAGATAACTGCATACGCAATTGAAATCTGATGCAAAAAAAAGCCTGTTTTGGGAGTGTACTGTAGGTGAATGGAGGGCTTAGGAATACGTAATTTATTACTGATCTGGATCTCCTTCTTTCGCCCTGAATTTTTAAATTTCTAAACGGGTATTCACCTATCTAGCTATAACTGTTATGATCTGAGACAACGAGGTAGTCGAGGCTAGGGCATCGCGTGTGGCTCAAGGCCACAATATACATCACTAGTGTACTGGTTAGGCGAG